TGATTGTTTCAAAACTAAAAAAAAATGTAAAAAAAAAATTGCATAAATGTCTTGTTGCAATTTTCAATGGCTTCAGAAGTGCCACAGAAAAATTAGTTTCTCAAAATTAGAGAAATTTAACTGAACAATTTTTTGGATAACTCTTACAAAGAATTTTCCAAGTGCAAGATATGGAATAACTATGAAAGTACTAGAAGTTTGACAGCCCTGAACAAACTTGAGCCATGATAAATTAAAAATGAACAGCTATGTGCAAATAGGTATTCTGCATTATTTTAAGTGTGTAAAAGGTCAAATACATAAGTGAAAATTTTTCACAAATAATCACATCAGTTATACAAGTCAGTTATGCATGTGCATCATTCATCCAAAGAAGTTTCACATGTATACAAAACCAGTTTCATACTTGGCAGCTATGGCTATATTAGCAACAGCCAATAAAACTGGGCCTGTACAGTGAAAGAGTTAACTTTAAGAATATTCCATATTATACATGTTCCAGGGGCTTTCTACTTTGAACTAGCTCTCAGATTTAATCTTAAAGATTCAAGGCTTACTAGTGGCTGGAGCGTATTAGGCACATTCCTGCAGCTTTCCCATTATTTTGAGCAAAAGGAATCCCATCCAGGTCACTCCCTAGGATCACTCCACAATGAAAATCAAAGTAGAGGCAAACAGATTTACTTCAAAACTGCATGGCTGATCCAAATAAAAACAGTGGGATAACACACACATTGCTGAATGTTACTTACTAGGAAAAGAAAAGAAAATAAGTGTTTAAAGCAAAGAAAAATCTAACTTTTGAGAGTCCAGAGCTGAATTTAAGAAGAATTATTATTGTGATATAAAATAAATCTGTGATATAAGATGGAACAAAAATATTTCAAACTTGATACAAGATCTTTACAGTTAACTCTATGAAATACAAGTCTATCACACCCATGTGAGCACGAATCACTTGACTGGAATGGTATGCACGTGAAACTGAAAGCAGACATATATTTCCATGACAAACTAGAGTCAGACATCTATTTACCAAAGTTTTAGATATTTTAGTCAGTAATATTAAATAAATGCCTCAGTACTGGCACACAGCAATGAAAAAAATTAAAACAGATTCTCTCAACTCTTGTCAGATAGCAAGAGGGAATAAAATTACAGAGGAAATATTTGGTAAATTTGAGCAATTTGAGTACACTGGTTAACCGTTAAAATAAAAATATGTTACTCATAACACAGAGGCATTGCTGGCAAAGTGGAATAATTATTGTGATAGCAATCACTGTTGCCTCAAGAATGTCCAAACATTCCCTACATTAAGTCTTTTGTCACCCAATCTCATCCAGACATCAGATTCCTTTCCTGTTCCTCATCATGAAAACATTTAAGCACTGAAAACATGAAGATTAGAATCACATTCTTGAAGAGGAGTACTTCGTACATTTTCTGAATGGACGTATTAGTTGCTGCATATGGTTTCTTGAGATACCAAATCAGAACTGCATCTTCATCCAGCAACAGTCAGATGATTTTCACCAGAAAACAGTCACTTGTAGAATCTGATCCTTGATATTTCTACTAAATTTCTCCATCCTTCCCATCCCATTAAAATAAAAAAAAATCTAATGGATTTCCATCATCTAAAGATTTATTACAGTGAAATTATCAGCCTCAATTTTGTAATAAGTTGTTAATTATTATAATTATTGTTCTTATTTTCTTTCTTAATTGAGAAACCTAAATATTATTCCTTTGTTATTCTAGGTTACAGTTAGTTACCAAAAAGCAAAGATAAAAGAATTCCAAATAATTTATAGATGACAGTCCTACATTTTCTAAAATGTGGCATGATTCTTTAAATGTAGTTCCATTGTAGTTCCATGTCCACTGAATTTCTCTCTTATATTCCATGGTTTATTCAAATGCAGAGGATTTTAAAAAAAAGTCTACCCATAGTCCAGGCACCATAGCCTCTAATATATTTACATTTTCCTTAAAGCAGAGAGTCCAGTGGTCATGAATTATCACATTCCTTCCTCAGAGACATTATTTTTGGTACCTACCAGTTGAGAAATACCTGATCACAACCGAATTGAAATAGTCTGAGCAGAGACATGACATTATTCACTGACTACATCATACAAGTAGATGTAATCATAATTTGGCTCCAAGGTCCTTGAACTACAAAGAAAGAAGGCATCACTAGGATCTTTAACAAGGGTGCACAAGCAGAGCTACACTTTTGGAAGGATGTGGCAGAAATTAACATGTTTGCAGAAATTAGATTAAACCTTCCATCTTGCAGTGGGTCTCTTAAAGCAGCAGACCATACTGACACAGGTAATGGTTTAAAGAAGTTGAATTTTGACATTGCCACAAAAGAAGATGCCATGATTTCATTTACTCTCTCTCACAGCACACTAATTGTGGATGGGTGACATCCAGATTCTCACTAACATTTATGCATTTATTCAAAAATGAACTAACAAGGAAGAACAGTGACAAGGGATATGTTGAGAGAGCATATTGGTTAAAGTAACGCAGAAAAATTCTTTTAAATTGTGAAAGCCAGAACACAGCACATCTGTAGGCCAAACTCTTCTCACCATTTTCACAACTGATGAATATCCCTGTATACTGCCTGTAAACTTTATCCCTGTAAACTTTAAGTTTGTCTGATCTTTAATTATTTTGTGGGATAGTTATTTTTGAATATTCAAAGTTCAACTGAAGTTTCTTTTCCTTTCATGGAAAAATACAATTAATCTTCAGCATCTGAATGCATATGAAGCAAAAGGAACACTTTGTACAGCTAGAATTCTTGATGATACCTCGCAGAACTACAGAAAAGTTTGTTCCCAGGATATAAGGTATCTATATCAGTTAAACATATATAAAGCACAATTAAGTTACAAATGAGAAATTCCTTCTCATTAGAATGCACCTAATACTTTATTATATATACAAGATAACCTATCTTTTCCTGATAAAGGAATCTTTAATTCTAGGTCAACCCAGATTTCAAATACCTCACTGTAAATATATGAAGTCACTTATAGGTCAGTAACATGAATTTCAATCAAAGCTTTTAAAATTATCACCAAATTCTAGAGAAGTCAGTACAATTTTGGATGTCCTGGGGGTGGAATAGAAGGATAGGGGCTGTTGAAAGTCCCAGACATACTATCTTAGTTTTTCAGCTCTGGAATATCTGAATTACCTTACCCTGTAACCACACACCACAAAGCTGACAACAGAAATGCTGGAATATAGACTGGAAATGTTATGAACTCACCTTTTCCTCTTTCCACCCCCACTTCCCCAACAAACTTAGACTAGAAAAAGCAACAAATATCCACATTAAAAATCCATATTATCCTTAAATCTAGGTTCATTAGAATAAAAATTATGTATTTGAATGCTGAATTTTGCTTTATCTTTAAGTGAACTCTGCATAAGCTTTAATATGAGCATGTGTCTTGATAGGTGTGGCAAGTGAACAAACCATAATCATAATGCTTGTTTGTATTTTATGGATGCCTAGAAAAGCTGTGAGGCTTAATTGTGTCATTCGGATTTTCTGCATATTACTTGTCAGGGAGAGATTTATTTCCTTACATTTCATTAAAAAAAAAAGACCATGTATTTACAATCATGCATAGGACTCACTTCATAGTGAAAACTACTTTGAAGTAGTACTGTGAGAATGAGACCACTTTCCATGCTAGTTAGCTCACTAACTTACAACTTCAATAACTTTGATGTATGACCGACATGTAGAATTTAATCAGTGAGGCCAGTTGACCACATGACAGATAAAAACAACACACTGAAAATAAACACATATCACAGGTACTGATGATTCTGGCAAAAATGTGATTCTACCAGTTCAGTTCCACATTTCAATATGCTTGATCTTCTGCATTTAATAATTTTTATTATTATTTTTTACTGTTTAGAAGTTATGAGTCATTCTCTAAAACAAAAAAAAAAAAATTAAAAAAAAAAAATCCAACAATAAGATAAGCCAGCTTGCTATGCCTCCCCGCCAAAACATTTTTTACTTAGCTTCGGATACTTTCTGGTTTCTGAAACAAGTCTTCAGCTTTGATTACACATAGCTATTGATTTCCCTAGTTACAGAAACAAGACTGCATTTTAATCCACAGTTGCACAACTGTATTACCAGGCTCCGCTCCAGTTAACCAGTTATGAATAAAGTTACAGTTCTTGAACGAGATTATTTGTCTGTCTTTCAGTGACTTTTTAAACTCCTGTCAGAATTCTGGAAAATCATAGTTGTAAATGAATAAACAAAGAAAAGTCTCGTCTTCACAGACTAGGACTTAACAGGCATACTTCCCAATTCTGACCATAACCTAAAATATACTTTGTCAAACTTCCCTACATGAAAGTGATCAGAGTATAAGTGTATTTTGTTCAAAAGCAAATAAGACATAAATAATTTATTTTTAAGAAGAATGTCCTTTTAAACAACTTTTTGAACAGCTGATATGAAACAAGTTATATTCTCAGAAACTGATTTTAGCAGCAGCATCACAGAGTAATCTAAGAAAAAGACAGCAAAGTGACCTCCAATCTGAACAACGCTCTTGCTATTGGATCAACCTTCTATAATTTACTTCAAGACCTGGTAGGATAGCTTTACAAGAAAGAATTTCTAAACACAAAGCTGAGAAAATCAAAAGTGATTTTTAAGAAGCAACATCTGCCTCTGAATAATGCAGTTTTTCAAGTATTGAAAATCAGGGCTGAGAGAAGCGTATTGTTTTCCTTCCTTTTTTTTTTTTTTTTTTTGGTCATTTTTTTCACGGGAATTTTGGGTTAAAACAATAAAGTGGTGAAGTGAAAGTGCTGCAGAGATACACCACAGAGGGGAGGGGCAAAAAAAGAGGGGTTAAAACTCACAAGTCAAATCAGTAAATGTATCATTCAAATAGAACGCGCAACAATTACAGAGAAACTTTAAAGCAACTTACCTCGAGGGAGAGAGATCAAAGAGCTGTTTTCAGTCGGAGCTTGCTCTGGCCCTCCAGGCCCCGGAGGAAGAGGTTCTCTCACTTGGGACATCTGCCAGCTCTCTCGCCCAGTAACAGAGAGCCTGCACCCCTCTCCAACAAAACTAACACGCGACCCTGAAGGAACAAGCAAATGAAAGGACTCGTTAATGTATTTTATGCGGAAAACTCACGGCTCGGGGCGAGAGACTGAAGAGGGACAGTAGTGAAGCGGCGGCAACTTTCCGGCCGGCGGCGGGCGCGCCCCCCGCCCCCTGCAGCGAGCACCCGCGGGGCCGGGGGCGGGAGCGGGCCCGGAGCAGGGCGGCCGCGGGGGTGGCCGGGGGGGCCCGTGTGCCGCGGCGGGGCCGGCCGGCAGCGCGCCGCGCCTACCTCCGCATTTCCTCCCGCTCCGCTCCGCCGCCCGGCCCTGCGCCGCGCCCCGGCCGCGGGAGCCTTCGCGCCGCGCCCGCTGCGCCGCCGCCTGTCCCGGCAGCCGCCTCCTCCCGCGCCGCGCCCGCGGGCCTTCCCCCGGCAGTGGCGCGCACAGCCTGGCACTCACACCCGCTGTCCCACCGCCGCCACAGTCACTCCTTCTCCATCATTTCCGGACAATGAAACGTCCCGCTCCGGCTGGCGGCGGCTGCGGCTCGGGGCGGCGGTTGTGCAGGTCCTGCCGCCCGCCAGCCACGGGCCCGCGGGCCGGGCAGCGCTGGGCTGAGCGGGGCCGGCCGGCCGCGGGGCGCCGCGCTGCCTCCGGCCGGGCCTCCAGCCATAGCAATTCCCCCAGGAGACCGTAACCCGTCAGACAGAAGTAGGCAAGAAGGGAAAATAAACCCAGGAGAATGTGCAAGGGAGGCTTTCCAGCCCGGGCAGGGTTTGCAGCTGCAGCGGGGCACGCTGCATGGCGCAGCCGCTGGCTGCCGTGCTGGCCGCCGTGTTACGGAGCGCCCGCCACCAGTTGCGCCTCGGAGCGCGGGGCGGCACGTGGAGCTCCAGGCCCCTGCCCGCCGGCCGCGCCAGCTCCGCCGGGCCCCGCTGCCCCTGCCCCTGCCCCTGCCCCTGCCCCTGCCCGGTAACAGGCAGGTGTGTCTCCAGTAAAAGGACTTCACAGCGGGCAAGCAGAAATAGTCCAAGAACAAGCACTTTGCAAAAGTAGAACCCTAAAGTGCAAGCTACTTCCTCTGTTACCATCTGCAAAGTAGTGTTGCCTGGACTTTCTCCATATAAGAAATAACATTTCTTTCCCATGGCACGGTGTGATGTGATCATCAGTCTTATACTCTGTTCTTGCCCAAAACACGGGATACTTCAATTATTGCTCACACATGTGCAGGTGTCCATAATGGGATCTCAGTATGTCACCTTTCTCATTTGAAGTGTGTCCAGGTTTAAAATGTATTTTTCGTAAAACATACAAGCAGATTCTTTTATTATGGTTTAGTAAATATGCCGGCTTTACTGGTAGGTCTCATTACAGTGAGATATTTAGATATATTTTTTAGGAAACAAAAGTAGGAATATAAAATCTGCAAGTTATAGACTATCAGCATCCTAACATGACAGACTATAGCTGGTAGATATTTATTTTTATATCACACATTCTAAGCAATATGCTCAGTTATTAAAAGTTAACTTCCTAAAGTTTAGCCTTTCCCTGGCATGCTTGCAAAACAACCAGGATAAAGTGTAAATACCTGACTAGGAACCAGTTCTATGTGAACTCCATACCCTTCAGGGCTAACTCTTATTTCAGAAGTCATCGGTAATTTTACACCACTGTACAGCTTTTTTTGTCATTGCTGGTGCAAAAGAGAAGTGTGATGAAAGGTGCATATGCTTTCCTCTGAAAAATACTATAATTTTAGAGTGTTTCAGTAACCTAAGGTGTTCTTTGGTGCAGCATAGTCTTCCTTTAAACATTTATATGGAAAATGGGGGAGGGGGGAATATTTTAAGGAAAAGAGCTGTGTAGAAAAAAAAATAAATTTGGGGCAAACAGAGCTATTATTTTACTGAGTAATAATAATAATAATATTGGTCTCAATATCTACACCTTTTGTCGGTGCAAACATTGCATAACTTTCCACAGTCCCCTCCTTGCTGTCCTGGGGGCAGAGTGATCAAAACATAAGGTAGAATGACTTACCTCAAACTCCCAAGTGAGTCAGTAGTAGAAGAAAGGTTATGACTCACTCTCAACATACAAGCTTGTGTTTTTCCCTCTGAAACTGGAAATACAGCAAAGAGCTGTGGGAGGAGCAATAATTTAGCCAACCACACCCTGCTTCCAAAATATTTCATTGGATAATAAAGGCCTATGAAGAGCTGATACCACCCAGGGTTGGTATTTTGGTGGGTTTTTTTAACCTTATCTATGAAACCCACATGGTAAACTCCCATGATGTTCAGTTTATCTTCTTTAAAAAGATGATGGGATGAGCTCACCCTGACAAGGTTCAGTTGTAGAGTTTAAAGCAACTAAATGAATTTACAGGATCTTCAGCAGACAGTACAACTGATGCAGTCAGAGGTAATCCTAAGTAAAATCAGATTAAGAAAAGGTAAGAGAATTCAATGCACAAAAAGCACAATTTACTGGAAAAGTACATTAGAAATATTATGCAATACACAGCACATTACATACCAAAGGCTATGATTGTAAAATGATGGGTCCAGATGTGGTCGCTGTTAAAGAGATACCACAGAGATGCAAAGCTCATTGGCATAAGCACTTCCTGACACTACAACATCTAGCAAATACTCAGCAAATCTCAAATATTTGTGGTATTACTTTCCTGTAAAATATGTATCATTCTAAAATATTATTGACAATTCTCAGGAAGTGGGCAGTTCAGATATTAACACCAGCAGCCTTTCAAGTAGGCTACAAAGTTGAGATATACTGTATCTTACTATACTGTATCTAACCGAGTTACTGGCTGTTGCACATGTATCTTCCAATGTAGTCTTCCATTGCTTAAAGCCATAAAATTCAGGTCTTGTAGGCAGTTAATGGTAGATCTCGGGATTGATGTGAAGAAAAATTCAAAAGCCTTGTAAATAGAAAATAAATACAGTTTGTAGGCAAGTTAAAATTTCATGAAAGGAAAAAAAAACCACCNAATTCAAAAGCCTTGTAAATAGAAAATAAATACAGTTTGTAGGCAAGTTAAAATTTCATGAAAGGAAAAAAAAACCACCAAAAAAATCCTGATCACAAAAAAAAAAAAAAACAAAAAAACAAAAAAACAAAAAAAAAAAAACCAAAAAACAAAAAAACCCCAACCAACCAAAAAAAACCAACCCAAAACCAAACAAGCAAATAAAAAAAAAAAGGGAAAATCCACAAAAAATCCACAAAACCACACTCCAGTAAAAAACCCCACACACCACTACAACCATGAAAAAGCCATCCAAGTTTCTTTCTCTATTAAAAAAGATTCTTTAAAACACACTTCTATTAAAAGTGCACAAAATGTGGAATACAATCCTATGTCTTCGGGCCAAAATTGTTTATCACCACTGCCTAGACTGGGTTCCTACACAAGCCATACAAAGTATATTACTTGCAGCCAAAATAGACTTGTCACTGAACAAAAGAACGTGTTTTAGAAAGATACAAGTTGTTTATTTAAAGTAAACCCACAACATTACAAAATTAACAGCTGCAGAGGTTGTTTATTCACATTATTAAAAATTTGAGCTATATTTCAAGCTTGAATTTTCCAAGGCAAACTTTTAGTGTTTGTGGGTTTTTGGATTTCCAATAGTTTGTGTTGGAGGAAGTTGTGGATAGCAGAGATGCCCAGCTCAGAAATGCTGCAGGGAAATTCTGCAAAACTCTTCAAATAAAAAATGTGGTCAATAGCTATTACTCAATGATCAATGAAGGTCTAGGTACTCAAATTTTCCCCCCATCGTAACACTACCCTTTCCTTCCCTAAGGCTACTCTTTAACTGATGCTGATTTCCTTCTGTCAGGAGGAACAGAGGAAACTGAAGATATTTTACTTCCCTCTTAACATCCTTAAATAGTTTTGAATAATGGATAATAATGTTATTGAATCTTTTTGTCATTGATTGCTTGTAACTCAGTACCTGTGAGTTCAAGTTATTCTTCTGCTATGCCTGAGAACATGATTTTCGACTTTGTAATGTGTAATTTTAACATATGTGTATTATTCTAAACTTCACCAGTCTTTTCAGTATTAGGATCATGGCAGGATCTCTGTCCTAAATATTTTATAGTGCTGCAATGCTGAAATGGAAAGACAGTTAAAGTTAAAAGGGCTAAATAAAAAACTTTGAGTTAAAACCAAATTATATTGTAAAATAACATAATTACAAGTGGAGCTTATAAATTTCTTTTAAAATAATCTTTAAAATATAGATTAAAAGCAGAAATATCCACAAGATATACATAAAAGGACAATAAAAGAGAATTTGAAGATCAATATTATGGTTGGTTTGGAGTACTTTTGTTTCCTGGTGTTCCTGACCTAGCTTTTATATTACCCTTCTGCAAAGCATCCTGCAAAAAGCCATGTAAATTGTCGGGTGCCAGGGCAAAGCTGGTTGCAGCTGTGTTGTAGATGAGGATTTGTACTTCATAAAGCATAACGTGCTGTGGGACTGATGGTGCCTTAGAAACCAGCTGGTCCTAACAGGGCAACCAACCCCTTTTAGGCCAAGGAAATCCACCTCCAAAGAGCACTACAGAAACAAATAAACAGTTGAATGTCTAAAATGAAGCTAGAGACGTGCAGATTTAACTCCTTCTGTAACCAGAACTGAAATGTGCATTATCTTTTAGAGGAGCAACTTGTTCCAGTAATACTGTACCTTGGAGCAAGAAGGTTTTCTACCATATAGAATCCTCATCCAGGTTAGATGTTTTTCTGCCATGGGATGGACTCTACAGTGAGGAGAAAGGGGACATGAGGCTTAATGCTTTATTCTGGCTAGAGGTATTTTTCTCCATTTTGTTTTCCTGTTTAGACTAAGTATAAGAACTATAGTAGTATGAGAAATAGTTCCTGTAAAATATTGTCTAACACAGGTGGTAAAGATTTCATTGAAATTGATAAACGATCAAGTAAAACAAAGAAGATTCTCTGAGATTAATTTTTTCTGATGTAACTCTAATGAAGTTAAGGAGTTGCATGAAAATGAATTCAGCTCAACAAACTTTGTCCTTCTTAGGGTGAAGCACATCATA